ATATATATATATATTTTTAATTAAGTAAAAAAAAACCTATTGCTAAAAGGTGAACATCATAACGCTAAGACCTCCTCAGTGAAGAGCTTTCAAGATAGTTGCCAGAATTGAAAATTGTCTTACGAAAGACGCAGAACAGAGGCACAGAGCTGAAATGCAGTGAAATGAAGGCGAGTGTTGAACAAGACTAATTAAATTCAGGGAAATGATATAACAGAAAATGAAGACAAGTTGCGGAGTTCAAATATAAGCAATATCCCTTTAAGAGAATTTTTAAGTGACAGCCTCTAAGTTACTTTAAGTTGCCATAATCAGACCTGTACTAAATTTCAAGCGAATTGGTATAAAACAGTATTTAATTTTTGCTTAATTTTCGCCGTCGCAGTCGTCGTCGCTCAGACCTGGTTATTACCTCAATGAGTATAAGTATATATACGAAAATACATATGTACTTATGTATGTTTATAGTTTATGTATTTTTGCCCTCTTTGGAATACTTTTACTAAAAATACTCGAATTCAGGACGTGCTCTTATCAATTTGAATTACAACTTCATTTCAATACCTACATTTGATATCAAAGGGCAACTTACGCTTTCGCATGCAGACCTCGTATTTCAATCTAGTTATTTCCGGCATTTAATTTTGTTTTATGACCCCGCCCACCACTCAATCACTTCACATTCGCGTGCGACTTAACTTACCTTAAAAGCATCACGAAATTTGTGACTCATGATGTTGTATAGCAGCGGATTAATACACGTCGATAGGTAATACAGCACACCGGATATAAGGTCGACAGCTTCGAAGACATCTTTAAAGAGTTGCGATTCAATGTTGGCACTGCTGCCGTATACAGCCATCAAGCGTTGTGCGTGAAAGGGTGCCCAGCACAAAAAGAACGCCACAGCAACGGCAACTGTTGAATGTTGCGCGCGGAAATGAGGACAAACGTGGGCGAATGGTGCGACATGCAAATAAAGAAAAAAGAAAACAAGGAAACACAAAAACGGAGGAAAGAGGAAACACGCAGCAAAAAAGGCAAGTGAAAGAGAGGTTTATTTAATTGTGAAATTACATTTATTTTCAAATCATAAAAATATGTATGTACATACATACTGGCTATGCGGTTTCACCAGAAATTTAAGTGAAAAAAATGATTTTTTTTTCAATTCTGTCAGTATTCATATTAAATTCAAATCAAAAATTCTTTTTCGCTTAAATTGCTTTCGTGAAACTACGTATTAGTTTTCTAAATTTATAAGTAAAACAATTTTGATATTTAATAATAAAGGGTAACCAAAACTAAGATACGAATTAAAACGGGCAGCCAATGTATTTGCCAATTGGACGTAAAATCGCCGTATTTATCGAGGTACTACAAATACATACATAAATGTTCGCAGTATATTAATAACAAAAAAATAAATGCTTTTAAGGCTGAAGCCAAAATTTTATTCTATGCGAAATTTTTGTTTTGTTCCATCCATGTAGGGAACTCAACTAACTATAAATGCACTATAAGTTCACTATTTTTCAACTAGGGGCGACTATGCATCGATTACTCTACGTTGCTTTCAACTGACTACTTTTACATGATAATATCGCAAAAAAGTGAGTATGTTTTCAGCTAACTACAAACTGAATATTTTGTGTGTTGACAATTTTTCAATAAAAAGGACTATTTGCGAGAACCGTTTTTACGATTTCTTTGTTCAACTACCTGGCAGCACTGCATATATTACAAATTGCATTAGGGTGCATCACAAAAAAAATCTTCTTACAAAAATCGGAATATTTTGATTCGGTTCATACAATTTTTAAATATTTTTTTTGCAGATCTTTGAAGCTTAGACCCTTGTATCCTCTGTGGTTATTTAAAAAAAATTCAATTTTTGGTTGTCTTTTCAAATGGGCACGCAAATCGTAATACTTTTCCGAAATATTTTGGCAGATGTCTGAAAATATAATCGATTTTATAATTCCTCAGGAAAAATTGTATCGATCTTTTGTGGATGAAGACACAAATAAAGACGCGAGCTCAAAAGCTGACCGCGAAAAAAAACTTTAGCTAAGAAAGACTCTTAACATTGTTGACGTTAAAACACGCGTGCATCTCTATTCGTGTCTAGTGACGATATGTTTTTTTTTTTTTCAAAAATTCACTCAGCTCTATTCAGTAAAGAAAAAAATGATTACTTATACCCGAATCTGCTATATTTATTTTTACAAAAAGAAATGCAGCCACCTAAAAATATTGTATTTATACCATTTTGCAAAGTTTACTTTAAGCACCGCACAAAGTTTTCTTGAGGTTATTTCATATATATAACTTGTTTGCTTTTGATATTGGTAAGTGTTTGCTCAGCAACCACACTCCCGTAAAACACCACACTCAGCTGTCACGCGATAACGCAACTTTGTTAAAAGGCAACCATCCCTCATCACTATGTCAACAAGGAACACATTTTCCGTTCATGCCACAGGTGTGCATATCTGTTTTACGATTGTTGAAATTATTAGGTGAAAATGTGCCAAGTCCACTATTTTTTATTTATTTTTTGATGCAGAATTATAGATAATGCGAAACTACATCTATTTTTCATATCTTGTGAAAAATTTTACAATAATAATAAATATGTAGGCTTCGTATGTCAGTTGGTGCACGCAATCAAGTCAGCTCCTTAAGCATTCGATTACAGTAAGCAGTAGTGTAGTTATACCTTACACACCTCCGAAAAAATATTCATATATAAGGGAGGAAATGGTGTAGGCGGTCGGCGCCTACTGTGCAATATATGACATTAATTGCCTTGAGCGGGTGTTTTACTGTTAGCACTCGCACAAAATTATAACGGTATTCAGACTATCCTCGTTAATGTATTAATTCGTTATCTGGTAATACTTTCAACTTCGAATGCCCTTATTATATTTCTGGTTAAAATTACCCTCGAATCAGCTGACTAGAAGTTCTTTAATTTATAAAACTTTATTAATTCCACGACAGAATGTTTTATTGAACTTTTGATAAAATGTATGCACTTTTCGCGCGAGAAAATCCCAGCAAATTAGTAACAAAAATGAATCAGCTGACATTTTAACGCATGTGTTATCACATTATCAGAACTGCCACCTCATTAAGTTGGTAACGACATATTCGGTAATTTACAAAAACAAAACAATGGTGGGAGTTGCCGAATACCGAATCAAGACCTTAACGAGTATACTCTGAATACCCTTTGTGTAAATATTTATGCAGGCATGTTTACCGGAAGTAAAGGGCGATTTGAAAGTGATGTAAGTGATAATGTGGTTTAAGGCTTATTGACAGCTTAACTGGTTGAATGAGTTTTACTTTGTTTGCTCGAACGAAATTTGTTTGCTGTGCCGCGGCGGGTATAAATTATCGAAAGCAACAGGCTTCAAGCTACGCGCGTGTTGGGATTTGTAAACATTTCGAGTATTGCATGTTTATAAGAATTATGTAAGTTTGATGATAAATAGGTCCAATTAATAACTGCCAAATTGTTTTTTATTATTTCGAGAGTATTTTGTAAAAGATGCTATTTACAGGTCTTTCTGCACGTTACCGAAAAATTTAGAAATTCTAGCATTGCATATTTCACGGAGCAATATTTTATTACCAGCTTAAGAGATAGCAACAAAAGTAAGATATTAACAATTGATTTACAGCGCCGAACAGGTATTTTAATAGAATAAGTGCGCCATGGCGTATGATGAACAAAAAATATATGGTAAGCAAACAACTTTCGAATTTCGCATACAGTAATAAAAGGAAACCGATATCATCCTCATAATCTTTTGACTCTTCGAAAGTTGAGAGCGGAATCGCCCAATTAAAGCATTAGTTGCGAGAAGTAGTTCTGTCTTACTCGGATTGATGTGGTGGTTGCCATTATAAGTCCATTTAGTAACCTGATTAACCAAAATGTCTGCATACAGGTTGGAGCCTGTATGCTTATGCAGTGATTTTACTATTCCTTTCTGGTAGATGTTTTTGAACTCACGTAAGAAAGGAAAGAGAAAGAGAAAAGTCTCTAGATTGCAACAAGCTTCTTCGGCATTTTCATTTGACCACTCGTCCCTAGTTTATTTATACAACGATCAGGGCTATCGAAAAATGATATTTTTACGATTTATGGAGGATGTTCTTGGCTTTCATTTATCATACTTTGTATTAAGATTATTTGATTACTTCATAAGATAAAGGTGAATAAGTGGAACTATTTTTGTAGCCGATTAATGGTAAATTGCAAATATCTCGAAAACTTATCCGCAGAAAAGAAGTTAACTCGATTTTCGGAAGCAGCGAGCAATTCGACATAGGAATTGGTTAGTGGCAACCATGGAACAATTTTTGCTGTAAGCCAGTGTCATACGAAGAAAATGCATTTTTTTGTTCAGGTCCTAAAATTACAATTGCACAGTGCTATTTTACTAGTTTTTCAATACTTGTTCTCTTGTGGCTCTCCAAACTTCTTGGGCTACTTACTCAGCATTCGGATCACACGACTTTGTGCGCTGATCCCGCGATGCACATCAAAACTACGCCGTGGCACTGCCTGCAGCAATCGGCTACGCTTCAACTTTATACCAATTAGTACATAGAGTACACAAATTGCCGTCATGGGACCGACAAAGAAGATAAAGCCCGAAACGGCGAAAACATGCTCGACAAAATGATTGCCAATCTGTGAATGAGAAAAGATAAGAAACGAACACACACACACACACACACACGCGTATGAGTTTAAATATCGACTGAATATGACAGACAAATACAAGTACATATGTAGGTGTTTCAAAGGCATAGGTAAAGGTCACCACTGCAATATTGAAACTAAAACGTACTTTTCAGATTTTTTTTTGTCTTTTGTAATCAAGTCTATTTAAAAAAGCGGTGAACTTACCGTGCACGAGGTGCCGCCCTGCTCTGACACAACCGAGAATTGCATTGCCTGCGGCAGGGCAAGCAGCAACGCCGTCACCCAAATGGCGAAGATGAACTTGATGGCGCGCGATAGCTTGGACATGGTGTGCTGTCTGCAATTAGGCGATAAAAAGGGAAAAAA